CGTCTTTGCGCCTTTATTACGTACGGTGAAAGTTGAAGGGACCTTCGGTCACACGGTCACTCATGTGTTTAACCCTGTGGATTACATCAGCGTTTCTACGAATCATATAGAAAGCATTCATATCGATATAAAATCTGATCAGAATGAGCCGATTCACTTCTTATACGGAAAAACAACGGTGAGGCTTCATTTCAGGCCCGCACATCAGAGAAATACAATAATATAACGCTCGTGAAACAGGGTGAGAGAGTCAGTTACGCTCGTACGTCTTGCAAACATGATTTATCACCTGCAGAGAAACAATCCCAACCGTTTTATCAATTATTACGTCACTCAGGCCGGTCATGGTTTACCAGGTTTTAGCGGTGTTCCTTATATGTACGGACGTGGCTTTGGATCGATATTTTCAAGACTGTTTCGATTCATATCACCTTTTGTTGAAAAAGGATTTGCTCTGGCTAAACCGCATCTCAAAAAGGCCGCTACCGGAATCGTGTCAGATGTGTTGACGAGAGCCGTCGGTAAAATCACTGACCCTAATGCCCAAGAGGGGTCAGGCCTCATGGTTCTGTCGAGGCGAGTTCGCAAAAGACCCCCTGGCAGGCGTTTAAAGACATCTACATCACGAAGCGACCGGCGCATCAAAGCTCCAGTTACAAAACGCAAGCAAAAGAGGAAGAAGTATCGTCAGCCGGGCTCTGATATTTTTTAATCATGTCACTGCTCCACAGCAAATCGTCAGAATGTACGCTGAGTGAACTGGACCTCTTCACCGTCCCCATGACGCAGTTGTCTATCGAAGATAAGATCTACAGCGAAATTTTACCCATAGCAACCCTGACGGACGGCGGGCCTGTAGAATTTTTTGTCCCCGGAGATGGAGAGAAATATTTGGATTTAAACAACACTCTTCTATTTTTGCGGGTGAAAATTACAAACGATGACGGCAGCCCGCTAGATGATGGTGCTGCCACCGGTCTGATTAATTACCCGATAAACACGATTTTCTCACAATGTGACGTGGTTCTCGGCGACCGTCTGATTTCACAGTCCAGCGCCACACACCCAAACAGGGCGATTGTCGAAACCCTGCTGAACTTTTCTGAAGCGAGTTTGAATTCTCAATTCAGCGTGGGATTGTTCTTCAAAGACACCGCAGGTGCGCACGATTCCACCGTTGTAATTAACGGACGCAATTTAGGCCTTAATCAACGAGCGACTTTTACAGAAAACTCCAGAGAAGTGGATCTGATAGGACCCCTGCATTCTGATATATTTTTCTGTGAAAGACTTCTTTTAAATTCTGTCGATCTCAGAATTAAACTGACACGAGCGTGCGATGCTTTTTGCCTGATGGGGGCGCGTGATTCCACCTACAAGCTGAAACTGCTGGGTGCATCGCTTTTTGTGAAGAAAGTTAATATTTCACCCGCCGTACGTTTGGGTCACGAGTCTGCTTTACTAAAAGCAAACGCCATGTATCCGCTCTCACGCGTGACCGTCAAAACTTATTCCATTCCACAAAATTCGAGGATATGTAATCTGGAGAACCTCTTTCTCTGCGCCATTCCTAAATATATCGTCTTGGGATTGGTGGACCACGAGGCTTACACAGGACGCAGGGACCTTTCTCCATTTAATTTTCGCCACATGAATGTGGAATATCTGGCGTTGTCCAGAGACGGAAAACGTTGGTTACGTATTGTAACCCCAGATTCTATGAGTCTAGTCGCAGCCCTTAAGCGAGCTGCTATTGGAAGGGTGATCTCATCATCAGCCAATCATGAAGAGCTTAAATGTACGCCCACCACGTGGGCACCCCTTGTGGGTTATATAAGTGGAGCGACTCCACTGCTCGCCTCCGATGGCTCTTAGTCCTAACAGAACCAGTGTGGCCAAGTGGCTTAAGGGCTGCGACTAGACTCAGAATCTGGGGTTACAATACGTAACCAACGTTCTATTTCGTCTAGTCTTAGCCCTTAAGCGAGCTGCTATTGGAATAAAGCGCAGCTGGATGGGTTTACGCCACACTGGTTAGCTCAACCAATGGACACACCCAACATGTCTCCTTTTAGTGGGGGTAGCTCAGCCTCAGCCCAGGGCTTAAAAGGCTGAGGCAGCCAGAGAGAAGAGTGGGGCCACCACTAAAAAATATCATCCACAAGAGGATGAAATTCATTCAAGCAGGGCTGATGAGGTGCCATAATGCGTTCACTCAGCCTGCTGAGGTCCAAGCACTGAACGAGTGATGGATCCTGAAGACACATCTCGTAAATAATAACGAGTAAAGGAACAGGGTGAAGCCCATGAAGCAGCCTGACAAATGACTTCCATTGACCCACCACTGTGGGGCGCCACAGAAGAGGAAATCCCTCTGGCTGAGTGAGCCCTGAGTGTCTCAGGAGGATGCAGCCCCGATGATGTGTAAGCGAGTGAAATGGCGTCACATAGCCAGAGTCAAAGGCGCTGGGCCAACAGCGCGTGCCCAAGGGAAGACTCCCTGTAGTGCACAAACAGGCTTTGTGAGCGGCGAATCCCTGAAGTGCGTGACACATATCGTGCGAGCGCGCGCACCGGGCAGAGAAGAGGGGAAGCCGCTCCTCCTCAGAATTATGGGGAGGAGGAAAAAGTCCAGCCAATGAAATTGACCTGGATTTGAAGGAAGCATTAATGTTTTTCGGGCACAAAGGCTGGGTTGGGGCAGAAAACAGCAGACCCGCCATCTGCCCGGATCCTGAGGCATGCGGGAGCCACGGAGAGGGCGGTTTGGTCGCTCACTCTCGTGACTGATGCCAATGCCAGCAGCAAGGCAGTTGTAAGTGACAGGAACTTGAGTGAGACCTGGTCCAAGGGCTCAAATGGGGCTTCAGATAAGCCACGCAGAACCACCGTTAGGTCCCACTGGGGAATTAGCGGACGGGACACAGGTCTGTTCCTTCTGACACCTTTTGGAAAACGTTTTGTGAGGGGATGATCGAAAACAGATCTATCATCAAAACCCTGATGACAGCATGATATAGCTGCAGCATATGTTTTAATAGTGCTGAATGCGAGGCCCCTGTCCGTCCGTAGCTGCAGAAACGATAGGACATCCGCCAGCTGGCAGGAGAGCGCTTGAACATTCCGCTCTGTGCACCATTTCTGGAAAGCTGTCCATTTAGCAGCGTAAGATGCAACGGTAGAGGGCACCCGCGCACTCTGAATCGTGGCGACCACATCATGTGGCAGCCCAGAAACCCCTAATCAAAACCGCTCAGCGGCCAGACCCACAGCCGATGGCTTATTTCCGGAGGATGTCTGATTATCCCATCCGCCTGGGGAGGGGCGTCCTCCCTTCGCGGGAGTCTCCACGGGGAGCCGGACAGTAGCGCTTGCTGGTCCGGAAGCCATGACGCGGACAGGCGTCTGGGAGCCAAATTACCGAGAGCTGTTCTGACCGAACTCGGTCCAGGAGACGGGGAATCAGAGGGACTGGTGGAAACGCATAAAGGAGCGTTCGAAGCCCGGGCTGGTGTGAGAAGGCGTCCGCTCCGAGCGAGGTTTGGTCCCAGAGACTCAGGGAAACCCACAGGCGACACTGAGCGTTTTCGCGAGCCGTGAACAGATCCACACGGTTCCCCGAACCTTATCCAGATCTGTGATATCAGCGCAGGATGCAGACGCCAGTCGGAGTCGCGGGGACCCCCTCTCGACAGGATGTCTGCCACTACATTCAGGATCCCCGGAATGTAGGTGGCACAGCAGGTGGACATGTGCCCAACACAGTAAATCTGTGGCTATGCGCAATAGAGGGAGGGATCGAACTCCCCCTTGGCGATTTATGTAGGCTGCCGCCACCTGGCTGTCTGTGTGAACTTCGACATGACGGCCATCGAGAAGGGCAGCGAAGTGCATGAACACATTCCTCACTGTCATAAGCTCCAACACATTTATGTGCTCGTGCGTGTGGGAGGGCCAACGATCTGCCGCCGTATGGGACAAGCACGTGCCCTCCACCCCAGACAGTGACGCATACGTAAACACAGATACGTGTGACGCAGGACGTCCGATGGGAATCCCGTGTGAGGGGATGCAGGGATTCCCCCAGTGAGCGAGGTCCCCGCCCACTGAGGGGGGAAACCCTCAACATACGTCTCTTCTGACGTATCGGGTGTACCCGGAGGCAGATGAACCAACTTTGCAGGCGCCTCGAGTGCAACAACCCCAGCAGCACCACCGAGTGGGCTGCAGCCATCATGCCCAGAAGTCTCATGACTAACAGGGCTCTCACGATCTCGCGGAGTTGCACGCGGGAGATCACCGTGGTGAGATCTGCCGCTCTCACCGGCGACGAACGTGCTCTCATTAGAGAGGCGTTCAGCTCCACCCCGAGAAACATAATCAACTGGGATGGAAGAACGAAGTTCTTCCCCCAGTTAATAGAAAACCTCAGGGTTGACAGATGCTCTGTTAACCTCCTGGTTTGCACTGACGCCCCGTCCTCGGACCGGGCGCATCGGAGCAGATCGTCCCGGTAAAATAAAACCCTCGTTCCCGCCGTGCGCAGTGGCTGCAGCGTGGTCTCCAGACATTTGGAGAAAGTGCGCTGGGCTAGCGAGTAGCCGAAAGGGAGGCATTCGTGCGCGCGTTCCGACAGCGGACGTGTGCTCGAGGTCACGTGAGCAACGTCTGAGGATTGGTTTCGCGCCCTTACCGCCGTCGCTCGTACCAGAGAACTGGGAGCGACCCATGGAGGGCTGTGCTCGAAAGGGCGAGTGTGAAACAGCTGGAAGAGGCTGATCCGCACCGCAGAGCGTGGAGTCCATGAAGGACGAGTGGGAACCGGGCCCGTGCACGGGGACGTCAAAGTGCCAGCGGATGGAGCCGCGCAATGTGCGCGTGGTCGCGACAGTGCCATGACATCCCGTCCCACCCAACGTTGTGGGGGGAAGCGGGATGAGTCGGGCCTGGCCATAGGCTGGGGGCGGTGCGCAAATGGAGCGCACCCTTTCACAGCTAACCGTGTAACATGACCGAGTCCGACTGTGTGAACATGCAGATGTGCTGCAGTGCTTGGTGTGGGGAACATCATGTGTGAGGATTCGGCAGAAGGTTCTGCAGAGGACTGTAGGATTCTGCTCTCGATGTGACGTTTTTTGAGTTTTATTTCAAAACCAAAATAATTCACAGAGTTAACATTGCAGCCATAAGCACACACATTCCCCCCAACGAGTCGTTTTCGTGGTTGTTTTCGGCGAGGTTCCTGTGACTGCCAAAGCTGTGTCTGCTGGCTCGTTCGGAACCGTTGGCCGCCAACTCCCTGGCCCCGCCTCAGCTGGAGGCCGGCTCCGCGGGGCGGGCCGTGCAGCTGGGCGCATGGAGTTTCCGCGCCGTTTGTCCCATCCTCTGGGGGAACGGCCGGAGTGCGAGGTTGACCGAGAGTGGACCAGGTCTCGCACCGTGGCTGAAAGTTCAGCCGCTGAGCCCTCTAGATGACGCTCGTAAGATGGGGACCAAACAGAACGTCAGAGGTGATGTGGCCTTCCAGCATCTCTCTGTGCAGGTGTTCAGGAATGGAGGGCAGGGCCGTGAGCCACAAGGCCGCTGGATAAGGGTCTGCCAGGCAGCAATGCGAGCAGAACCGGTGAGTACAGCAGTGCACAGATTGAGGATGGCATCAGCAGTTTTAGTAATGATGGTTTTTGACTCGACAGGAGAGTCAAGCTCCTCCACCATTTTGGAAACGCCAAAGGCGAGAAGGCGATGGTATTTCCTGCAGCGCCGGTCTGGAAGGCGCACTGGTGTGCGCGATCGGCGAGCCGCCTCAGCAGCTGGTCATGCTTAGCGGGAACTGCTCGCGGTCCAGTGAGGTGGTTCTTGACGCCACACAGCGAGGTCAAGTCCGGCTCCAGTGGAGGAACAGATGGCCAGCCCTGGTCGGAGAAGCCCTCGACCTTGGTAATGGGCGCATATGTGAAAATTGGCGCCTCGAGCCTGGCAGGCTCGGAAGCGGCGGACCAGCAGCTCATGGCAGCTGGGAAGCGCGGCCAGACGGGGTCTGGACAGCGCGTCTGTGTTGCCCCGAAAATTCCCGCCAATTCATCTGCCTCAGGGGAGCCGGTTCTGGAACGGCTAGCCGCTTGCGGGTCGCAGTCGCGGAGATGATGGCGGGCAGCTCCTGGAGCAGCGCTATAACTGCTGGCAGGGAGGAGCGAGAAACCACTGGAGCAGAAGGACCCGCTGAGCGAGGCTCGTCGACCTCCGTGTTGTACAGGAGGGAATAATGGCTGCGGCAGCCAGCCTCGTCGTGCTCCTCACGAGGCTCGTCGACCTCCGTGTTGTACAGGAGGGAAAAAGGGCTATGGCAGCCAGCCTCGTCGTGCTCCTCACGAGGCTCGTTGACCTCCGTGTTGTACAGGAGGGAATAATGGCTGCGGCAGCCAGCCTCGTCGTTCTCCTCACGAGGCTCGTCGACCTCCGTGTTGTACAGGAGGGAAAAAGGGCTATGGCAGCCAGCCTCGTCGTGCTCCTCACGAGGCTCGTCAACCTCCGTGTTGTACAGGAGGGAATAATGGCTGCGGCAGCCAGCCTCGTCGTACTCCTCACGAGGCTCGTCGACCTCCGTGTTGTACAGGAGGGAAAAAGGGCTATGGCAGCCAGCCTCGTCGTGCTCCTCACGAGGCTCGTCAACCTCCGTGTTGTACAGGAGGGAATAATGGCTGCGGCAGCCAGCCTCGTCGTACTCCTCACGAGGCTTCTCGACCTCCGTGTTGCACAGGAGGGAAAAAGGGCTATGGCAGCCAGCCTCGTCGTACTCCTCGCTGTCGATGACACCGTCCAATCGGTAGGAGCCAGCCGGCTCCTGGCCGACGTTGAAGAACCGTAACGCCTTGTCCAGCGAATACGTGCCAGCCACCGGAATTTCCTCGTCGGTGGAGGGGGTGAAGTACTCGACCCGGTGGACCTTTTCAGCCACAGGCAGAGCGGTACAAAACAGGCACGAGGCCTGGGGGTCAAGGCCAGGCCAGTGTGGTGAGCCCCGAGACAGACCTCACACTTGGCGTGCAGGTCGCCGCTGGAGATGAAGCCCGTCTGGCAGGCCGGGCAGGTCCTGGCGTCGCTGGACATGGTCGGTGAGTAGATTTTTCTTGTATAATTGCTCTTAAAGGAAGCTCTTAAGCTTGGCGTGAAGAGAAAACGGAGGCGAGCAGTGGAGTCGCTCCACTTATATAACCCACAAGGGGTGCCCACGTGGTGGGCGTACATTTAAGCTCTTCATGATTGGCTGATGATGAGATCACCCTTCCAATAGCAGCTCGCTTAAGGGCTAAGACTAGACGAAATAGAACAGATTCCTTCGAAAGCCTTTCAACCTACTTTTTACCAGGGAACATCGGTCAGAGAATTTTATAATCTGTTTACAGCCACTTCAAGACAATTGAAAGATTTGCCTCTATCGATTAATAGGTTGGAATATCAACAGGGGTATACACTCTTTGCCTTTAATCTGAACACAGCGGATGACTCGGAAGCGCTTTCAACCGTTTCCACCAGCAACCTGAGGATGGAGTTGCGCTTTGGAGAACCTCTGAGAACCACGGCTACACTCATTGTGTATGCGTGTTACGACTCCATTCTGGAGATAAACTCAAAGAGAGAGGTATTGGTGGATTATTATTAATGGATAATCACGAATTGGACGGCATATTATCGAACCTGCTGGGAGATTATTTTGGTGGCGTGTACGCATCTGATCAGCTGTCTACCGTCCCAAAAAACATTCAACTACCGGCCTACTTTGTGGTAAACACTCATCCTGTCCATTTACCCGGTGAACACTGGTTGGCGCTAGCTGTGGAACAAAATGGCCTCGGGACATTTTTTGACTTTTACGGTCAATCGCCTGAATTTAAATATTACCCTGAAAACATCCTGAATTTTCTAACAGAACGTTGTTCACGAATACAATATCAAGATCATCAGCTACAGAGTTTTGCATCCGACCGTTGTGGCCAGCATTGTGTTTTTTTCCTGTGTCATAAGGCTTGTGGACTTTCTCTGAAACAAATTCTGTCTAAATATCAGAAAAATGTAGATAAGAATGATGCTATGGTTTATCATTTTGTTAAAAAATTTTCAAATTGTATCAAACGTCATGATATATACTTTAAACAGGTGAATTGTACTCTTGAAATGTTTAAAGAATGTCACGGACTGTGAATTTTGTTTTTGAATAAAGTTTTATTGAACAAACAAAAGAGTTAAGGTGAAAATCTGATCCATTTCTTCTTCAAAGTGGGGGGGTCGGTCCAACTTGGTGATAAAATGATATCCCTCTTTGGTTTTTTCTTCAAAGTGGGGATATCGGTCCAGCTTGGTGATAAAATTATATCTCTCCTCGGTTTTTTCTTCTTCTTCAAAACACCGTCTTCAGAATCCGGAAGCACACCCCCTTCGTTCCTGAGTTGCATAATCTGACGTTTCGCTAGCGGATTGGACACGATAGATAAGGGTACATTTTTTTCTACCAGAGTTTTTAGGAAATGAGTCCAACCCGTCGGTTCTGACTGTGGATGTTTTTTTAACGGGTTGCTGATGCTTTTAATCAAGTCAAGGATGTGTGATCCTTTCTGCACATCGCCTTTATATTTAAATTCCCCCGTCGGAGTCCAGTTTAATCGTGTCATCTTCAGCAAGTACTCGGCGTTTTTTCTTCCGCGTACAGGAAGATTCTGTAGCGTTTCATTAATGAGTGTGTCAGCGTCTGTTTCTAATGCTGACGTAGGTTCAGCCGTCACAGCGGGTGGTTCAGTGGGAGGTGCACTTTCGTGTAATCCGCTTCTCAACAGCTTTAAATAATGCTGTAGCAGCGCATTGTATTTTTTAATTTTCTCATATGGCGTTAATCCCGTCTCCTGCATAATTAATTTCATTTCAGAGTCAAGATTCTCTTCAGCCACGTCCCGTATCGTAGGTTTAACAAGCTGACGTAATTGTTGGGGGGTCACCATAAACATTTTTTGAGAAGCCATCGTTTATTTCCTTATTAAACCACCTATCAGTTCCCCGATCAAAGGCGCTGCGGCAGCTAAGAGTATGGGTAGAAATCCGTCTTTCTGGCCGACTAAAAGCTTCTTTTTTTAAAAAAAAAGGCTAGTTTTGTTATGAGTCAACTGCCTGAGCACCGTTTTGCTTTTAGACAACCTTTGAAGTTGACGCGGTGACAGACGAATATTTCCTTTGATCACGTTTAAAGCTATCTCGCACAAAGCCTTGAGAACGTCCTCGGAGCACCCTTTTAAAAACTCCTGACGTTGGCGAGGCTTCATACGTGACAAAGCACGTAGAATCTTGGCGTTGCGTTTTATCCTGGCTGACATGGATCTGTTTTAGGTAAATACACCGCAGTGAGCTGATGCGGAAGTAAACCCGTACGAAGACGAAAAGATTCTGGTGTTTCCGCTTTTAAATCCACTATTAAATATCCGTATGGTTCCAACGTAGCGTCTTGAAAACTCTCCATGAAATATCTTTTTTGGGGAGGATAGATTTGATTTGCTAAAACATTGATTTGCAATTTATCTCGAGGGTTTTTAAACAAAATCAAATAATTAGTGTTTAAGCTGATGGAACGACTATGTTTTCCTTGATGAAAAACATTTTGAGTGATTAAAATGACACTCATATTTCTGTGATGTCTCAGCTGCGTAAATAATTTTAACACTCCAGGATGGCTGGACGTTTGAGACATCATGTCATCCAAGATCACCAAGTGGTTTTGACCCGATGGGAATAAATCATCATCGTCGAATGAAAGCGGGAGACCTTGAATGAATCTAATACTTTTATTACAAAGATCATCATACATAGGTTGATAAGATGTAAAAAACCACACAATGTTTTTTGGCATTTCAGTTAAACATTGCATACAATTTTCCAAAATACTTTTTACAAAAAAGGTTTTTCCACAGCCGGACGGGCCAGCAATTTGTACACTGAATGGAGATTTCAGTCTAGCGTCAAAATCAGTTTCCATTTTTAATACCCGAATGGTTCTGTCGTCCCGTCACCAAACAACCTCCTTTTATCAAAAATCACACGAAACCTTTTCACAAATGAAACATTCGAGAGAATGAGGCCTTTTTTATTTCTCTTGATGACATCCTGTTGAGTTTGCAAAAACCTCCCCCTTTCTCCAGCGATGTACCCCTCCACCAGCTGCGCCAAGCTGTCAAAATTGATGTGATTAGATGAAATGAATGACTGTGTGATACCCGTAGCCTTTATCACCACCTGCTGGCGGTCCCGGGTTTTGTAAGCATAAGTTTTAGGACCAGCAGATACAAACTCCTGGATGCAATCACCTTGCAGTTCATCGGTTAGATCGCCCAGCAGCGATTTAGGACGACGCATCTGCATAATAAAATCTTTAATGCAATCTAAACCAAATTTCTCCCAAACATCGCCTGAATCGGATTTTGCACAGATTAAAAAAGGTGTATGCACGCCGTTCTGATCCGTAAACGTTTCAGTGTCGTAATAAATAACCTTTTCCATTAAACCGTCATCTTTTTTTTCAAGCTGAATGAAACAGCGATGATCATCGGTGACCACCGACTGTTTGCAAACGATGCATTTGGTCGCGGAGCAAACGTGCTGTGAGCTATTTCCACCCATAGCGATGTAATAAGTTTGTTTACAAATCGTGCATTTTTTAAACATTTCGCAAGGAGAAACTGCCCTGTCTGCTTGAGGCCTGAAAACAGGTGTTTGTGAGTTTGAAAACATATTACATTTTGGCATATTCGATTACAATCAGAACATGTGATGAGAGACGTTTCTGTCCGTTTGCATAAATCGGTATTACACACGCGACAGAACCATTTACAATGATGTCCGTTCATGTTTTGATAAGGGGTAAAGCACCATGAACAAAAATATTTGGCTCCTAAGAAACCTTTAATATTTTTTATTCCGTAATAATGCTGATTCATTAGCAAAATGAATAGCGGATTTGACCGATCGCTAAAATCTGTTTCAAATTTAGAAATTATTTTGTCGGATCTGTAAAAAAATGATTATTTTCCTTTGAACAATATTTTCAAATCGAATTACGTCGCTAAATGAAACGGTTGATTGCTCCTGAACCCCTGACTGATGAAGAATATTTTTAGCCACATTCAATAATTCTGTATCTCTCGCTGAGGGATTTAACAGGCCGGCTATGCTTAGCGCAAAACACAACGGCTGATTGGTCTCTGGAGGGCAGATGAGATGGTTTCGTTTTTTATTGACTAATTCGTGGTCCAGAATGGTTTCGATTTTTCGTTTCCCGCCGCCAGAAGGG